CAGATGCACTACGCTAAGGGGCTTCCCCCCAAAGTGTCATTTGACGCAGTTGGAGTTCCCTCAATAGGGAACGCTAGTTTATACCATAAAGGCCAATTTATACTTCTGCGTCGAGGGTACGCCGTAGTGTAAGGCGTTGGTTATACCATGCGTTCGTGGTTTGACTTGTCATTACTGTTTTCCAAAGATGGCTTCTGTCTGTATATACAAAGTGGACTGTCTTTATAAATTATCTTCTTATTAAACGGTCTGCACACTTACAAAGTTCTCAATGCTTCGTTTTGCATGTAGGGACCCTCATTATGTTACTGTGTTAGTGTGGGTCTATTTTGAGCCTTGTTAGTGGTATAAACTAGCGATATCTTTTTACTTATTAAATGCCCCCATTACTAGCGTTATACGCAAAATAGTTTTTAGAGATAAAACTCTTTACATTTGATTATCATGAAAACAAATCTCAGAGAAAGTTTGACTAGGTACCAATGTTTCATTTTGCGCCGGAGTTCTCCTTTAATGTATTAATGTTTCAGACCCGATGGAAGTGAAAGTGTAAAGACAATAACTGAAGTAAAAGGTGATGATGTTGTAGTTTGTTTCAGCCTATTGACACCAATAAAACAATTTAATGTGCCAATTTACTGAAGATCTCAAACATCACCATAATGAATGAGCTGAAAACAGGGGACTTTAGGAGACAAAGAGGTTTTTCAGCTGCTCAGTTAAACATGATGGCCCTGTACTTTTAAAATGCAGATTGGATAAAAACACAGTGATCACAGTTCACACCTGCAGTGAAGCCCCTCCCACAACAATTCACCAATAAATACTGGGAATATTCCCATCATCCTACAAGAGAACGACAAACTCCAGGAGTAGCAGCTGAAATCTGTGTGACTGTTAAAGATGGAGTTTATTAAAGAGGAGATTGAAGACATGAGTGATCCAGGACCATCCAGAATGAAACATGATACTGAGGAACAAATAGGTTGGTGTCCATTCCTGATTCTTCATTGTTGATGCTTATGGTAGATGTGAATTATTAAGCAGTAAATGGATGATACGCGATTTGATAGAAAAACGACCATAACCTTTAGCAGTTGAATGACAGAATAACAAGTGAAATATCTGATCTCTATGGTTCTGTTCTTAAATAAGGATTCATTTGAACTGACTCTAACTGTATTTCTGTGTATTGTAGACCAGGTGAGAGTGGAAGAGCAAAGACAAGAACTGAATGAAGTGGAGGAGGAACATCGTAACTTTACAATTCAAAGAACAAAAGCGAAAAAGACGCACACCTGCACTCAGTGCGGAAAGAGTTTCACACAGAAAGGAAACCTTAACACACACATGAGAATTCACACTGGAGAGAAACCGTATACATGCACTCAGTGTGGAAAGAGTTTTTCTCAAGCATCACATCTCAGTGTTCATCTGCTCCGTCACTCTGGAGAAAAATCATTTAACTGTGATCAGTGTGGTAAAGATTTTATTTCATCAGCACATCTAAACCAACACCTGAAAGTTCATTCAGATGAGAAACCGTATGTGTGTTCTCTCTGTGGAAAGAGTTTTTCAAGGCTGGACAGTTTTAAACGGCATCAGAAAACACACAATGAAGTGGGAGATTATATGTGCTTTGACTGTGGGAAGAGCTTTACTAGATCTGAGAATGTGAAACTGCACCAAAGAATTCATACTGGAGAAAAACCTCACAAGTGCTCATATTGTGACAAGAGTTTCACTCAGTCTGGACGCCTGAAATCACATGAGCGAGTTCACACTGGAATGAAGCCGTACGAATGTACTCAGTGTGGGAAGAGTTTCACCCAATCAAGTGGTCTAGTGACTCATATTAGAAAGCATTGTCCTGTGTCACATTGAGCAAATCTTTTGTTAGATTCACATAAAGTACATGTGTACTAGTTAAGTAATAAACTAGTGTTGCGGTGAAATGCCACAAGATTTGTGTTTTATGTTGGAGAACAAGAAAATGATTGAAAATGATTTTAATTGAACACTTAATCAAAGAAAATAAAAAATACCAAAATGAAAAGAGACTAGAAAGAAATGCAGAACAACAACAACAATCAGGTATATGTTCATTAATAAGTAAAAAATTCCCTGAATTGGATTCATTTTTTAATTGTAACATTTGCAAATTTGTTAACTATATCATTAAACCCGAAAAATATTGGCCGAAATTTCTTTTCTTTTTCTGTCTAAAGAGAAAATCAAAAAAATGACACCCCACAATGTGTATTGTATGTAAATTAATTATAGTTACTTCATAAGTAATTAAAAAAACAACATTTTAAGCGTTTTCAGTAAATTGGACTCTTATTAAAAGTGATTAAAACTTTTGTTTACACTGTGTTGTGTGTGTGTGTTTTGATTGTCTCTAGGGCTGCATGATATTTGGAAAAAAATGACATTGTGTTATTTTTATTTATATGCAATATGAAAACAATTTCACCAGATGACTTGAATAGCTCTATTTGGAAAGAATTTGTTATGAAGCAAATCTGCATAGAAAGTAATAAACAAATTATAAGCATACATAAATATAACTTTTTTTCAGGTAAATCTAACCCAACGCATTCTCACCCCAAGGCGTCACCTTTGACCATGCTTCAATATTTGACGTTTTAGGCGCCCTTTAGCGTCACTTACATGAACGCGATCGTACGGCGTCCTCTAACTGACGCTAAAGGAAAGCGTCAGTTAGAGGACGCGGTTAGGTTTAGGTGTGGGGTGGCAGCCCATTCTCACCCCCAAGGCGTCACTTAACTGACATTTGGACATGCTTCAATATCTGACTCTTTAGGCGCCCTTTAGCGTCAGTTAGATGACGCCCTAGGATCGCGTGTACCCTACCCCCACCCCACACCTAAACCTATCCGCGTCCTCTAACTGACGCTTTCCTTTAGCGTCAGTTAGATGACGCCGTAGGATCGCGTCATGTAAGTGACGCTAAAAGGCGCCTAAAACGTCAAATAATGGTCAAAGGTGACGCCTTGGGGTGAGAATGCGTTGGGGGTGGGGGTAGGGTACACGCAGATATTGAAGCATGTCCAAATGCTTCCCAAGGCGTCAGTTAAGTGACGCCTTGGGGGTGAGAATGGGCTGTCTAACCGTATTCAGGACAGGTAGAGTCAGACATTAAATAATCAAATGTAAAATAACACTGCAGAATAGTCTTCTTCACTGTATAAATTAAGTAAGAAATAATGAGCTGCTTCGTGTTGGGGTCATAACCGCTGTTGGGGTTTGTATTCTCTACAACCGCCTCTCTCTACATTATCTGCTTATTACATGGCTACCCACTAAATAAATCAACAATGTGACTCTAAATATTGATTTAAAAAGAAGTTTAATGATTTCAAAACTATTATAATGCTTCCACTAAAGAAAATAGTCCGTTCTTTCTCTACGGTTAGAATCCATGTCCTGAACATCGCTAAACTGGGCTTTGTGGGTGTTTTTTTCTAACTTTTGAGACAACGCATTCTCACCCCAAGGCGTCACCTTTGACCATGCTTCAATATTTGACGTTTTAGGCGCCCTTTAGCGTCACTTACATGACGCGATCCTACGGCGTCATCTAACTGACGCTAAAGGAAAGCGTCTGTTAGAGGACGCGGTTAGGTTTAGGTGTGGGGTGGGGGTAGGGTACACGCGATCCTAGGGCGTCATCTTACTGACGCTTAAGGGCGCCTAAAGCGTCAGATATTGAAGCATGTCCAAATGCTTCCCAAGGCGTCAGTTAAGTGACGCCTTGGGGGTGAGAATGGGCTGTTTGAGAGGCTGTAACATATGGTTGTGCGAAACTCATCCGAAGGAATTAGGAAACCTATGCGGTGAGTGATGGACAAAACAACATTTGTCTGCTCAAGAACACGCGGCAAATTGCCTCAAATAAAGCCGTTTTTTACAATATAGGCCAACTGTAAGACAATCGCGGGATAAGTGGCAAACTTAATCGAGAGTGTGTGAGAGAGAGAGAGTGTGTGTGTGTGTGTGTGTGTGTGTGAGAGAGAGAGAGAGAGAGAGAGAGAGAGAGAGAGAGAGAGAGAGAGAGAGAGAGAGATTGTGGGTGTGTGTGTGTGTGTGTGTGTGTGTGTGTAACCTAGGATCAAAATATCCCCATAAAGATGGCAACATGTTGCCAACATTCGAAATCATTTTTTAACGGCTTATAAATCATATTAATTTATGTTTTTTTGAAAATGAGGAAGTTATCTGTAATAGGGTTAGAGATGGGTATACACAGTTTGTACAGTAAAAAAGTCATTATGTCAATGGAAAGTCCCCATAAAACACGAAAAAATAACATTGCTTGATCTGTTGAACAATCAAGAAATCAAAAGATGTCTGTGATTGGCTAAATCGCTCAACTTTGCAAACATGTTATAAATAGAAATTATGGCCTGTAAATCGTTTCTATTTTGTTTTAGTTGTTCTGGTTGCTTTTCTGCGACAGATAAATAAAATTGCATTAAGTTTTGGTTTTATTCATAGATATTTCTAGTTTGTGGGAAAATATATTATACCAATCATAAGAGCTGTGAAAATAAACAATTCATATAGGAATATAAATGCACTTAGATCATATTGTACAGCAGCTGTCATTCACATTTTGACTTTTAACAAGAGAATGACAAAACTAACCTTTGGTACATCAAAAATATGATATCTGATAAACAGATCTCACTTGTTTTTATTAAATCAGGGTTTGCTTGAAAATTCACATTTATCCTCCAGAACTCTTATTCTAATATAATATGTTTTAATGTTTCAGACTCGATGGAAGTGAAAGAACAAAGACAATAACTGAAGTAAAAGGTAATGATGTTGTAGTTTGTTTCACCCTGTTGACACCAATAAAACAATTTAATGTGCCAATTTACAGATCTCAGACATCACCATAATGAATGAGCTGAAAACAAGGAACTTTAGGAGACAAAGAGGGTTTTCAGCTGCTCAGTTAAACATGATGGCCCTGTACTTTATAAATGCAGATTGGATAAAAACACGGTGATGACAGTTCACACCTGCAGTGAAGCCCCTCCCACAACAATTCACCAATAAATACTGGGAATATTCCCACCATCCTACAAGAGAAGGACAAACTCCAGGAGTAGCAGCTGAAATCTGTGTGACTGTTAAAGATGGAGTTTATTAAAGAAGAGATTGAAGACATGAGTGATCATGGACCATCCAGAATAAAACATGAAGATACTGAGAAACAATTAGGTTGGTGTCCATTCCTGATTCTTCATCATTGATTCTTTGGTAGATGTGAATTTAAGTAGTAGTATATGGATGATACAAAATAGAAAAACAATCATAACCTTTAGCAGTTGAATGACAGAATAACAAGTGAAAGATCTGATCTCTGTTGCTTTCTGCTAATAAATAAGGGTTCACTTGAACTGACTCTAACTGTATTTCTGTGTATTGTAGACCAGGTGAGAGTGGAAGAGCAAAGACAAGAACTGAATGAAGTGGAGGAGGAACATCGTAACTTTACAATTCAAAGAACAAAAGCGAAAAAGACGCACACCTGCTCTCAGTGTGGAAAGAGTTTCACACAGAAAGGAAACCTTAACAGACACATGAGAATTCACACTGGAGAGAAACCGTATACATGCACTCAGTGTGGAAAGAGTTTTTCTCAAGCATCACATCTCAGTGTTCATCTGCTCCGTCACTCTGGAGAAAAACCATTTAACTGTGATCAGTGTGGTAAAGATTTTATTTCATCAGCACATCTAAACCAACACCTGAAAATTCATTCAGATGAGAAGCCGTATGTGTGTTCTCTCTGTGGAAAGAGTTTTTCAAGGCTGGACAATTTTAAACGGCACCAGAAAACACACAACAAAGTGAGAGATTATATGTGCTTTGACTGTGGGAAGAGCTTTACTACATCTGCTGATTTGAAACTGCACCAAAGAATTCATACTGGAGAAAAACCTCACAAGTGCTCATATTGTGATAAGAGTTTCACTCAGTCTGGAAACCTGAAAGAACATGAGCGACTTCATACTGGAGAGAAGCCGTATACTCAGTGTGAGAAGAGTTTCACAAAGAAAGGAACCTTTAAGACACACATGAGAATTCACACTGGAGAGAAACCGTATTCATGCACTCAGTGTGGAATGAGTTTTTCTCATGCATCAGGTCTCAGTTATCATCTGCTTGTTCACTCTGGAGAAAAAAATGAAGTTAGAGATCACGTGTGTGCCTTGACTGTGGGAAGAGATTTACTACATCTGGTGAACAAAAACGGCACCAAAGAATTCATACTGGAGAAAAACCTCACAAGTGATCATATTGTGACAGGAGTTTCACTCAGTCTGGAAACCTGAAATCACATGAGCGAGTTCACACTAGAGAAGCCGTACGAATGTACTCAGTGTGGGAAGAGTTTCACCCAATCAAGTAGTCTACGGACTCATATTAGAAAGCATTGTTCTGTGTCACAGTGAGCAAATGATTTGTTAGATTCACATAAAGTAAATGTGTACTTAGTTAACTAATAACTAGTGTTGCTGTGAAATGCCACAAGATTTGTGTTTTTTTATGTTGTAGAACAAGAAAATGATTGAAAATTATTTTAATTGAACACTCACTCAAAGAAAATAAAAAATACAGAATTGAAAAGAGACTGGCAAGATATGCAGAAAAACAACAACAATCAAGGTTTTATTTAACCCTTATTTAACCAGGGAAATCATTTGAGTACAAGTCTCTTTTGCGAAGGAGCCATGGCCAAGAAGGCTGCAGTAAAGGTTCCACATAAAATACAAAATAAAATAAATACAATAAACATACAATACATAATAAATTAACAATTACAATGAATCAGCCATGCTTAAAAAGTAAAATACAATGACCTTAAAACAGTAAAAAAATACTACAAAACAAATTACAATACAATACACTTATCCTAATTTGGGAAGCAGGGACAGGTGCCCATTGCGGCTGTTTCCCGATACTTTACTAGCCTCTTAAGGCTTTTACTCTATGAACATTTGATTTTTAAGGCTCATATCCAAATTTGGGCCAGAAACTTAGGTTAAAGCTTGGATTCTATTTTAGGAACAGGGCCTGCTTTTCCCTTGTAACCAGGAAAAAATTGGTCGTGGTTGCTTTTCTGTCTCTTTTGGATTATGACAATTTCTTATATGCACAGCCCAAATAAATATTTGCACCAACTGGATTCAGTTTATCATGGCACAATTAGATTCATTACAGGGTGCAAACCCTTTACACATTGTTGCACACTTTATGATCTACACTGTTAAAAAAATCTTTTTTTTGTGGCTGTGGTTACAAGAGGTAAAAACAATATAAATACTGTTCGTTTTCTCACACAAACCGCTCGTTTCGTGTTTTAGGCCATCAATGTGTACTTACATTCACGAGTCATTAAATCATGTTTAATTTGGACTTCTCTGTGCATGCTCTTTAGGGGGACCCAGGGTGAACCCCATAAACCTCCATTATATGACTGACAGAAAAGAACGGTTTGACCTAAAAATATCAAACTTGAAAATACTGTGGAAACAAAGACACCTACATTTTGGATGTCCTTGAGGTATAAAAGATTTCAAAAATGTATTTCAAAGTGAACTATCCCTTTAAGATCTTAACAACTTGCATGAAAAACGTTCATTTTTCGGTATGTTCAGTTAAAGTTCCATTTTGAGATTTGACAAAAGCTTGAAACTTTACCTGGTTTTTCGAAGTTGTTCATACAGGAACTTCAGCAGTTTTGGAGGAATGGGGACGTTTCCTTCATCTCAGCCTTTTCAACCTTCAGGATTTCTACACAGGAAAGTTGGAAATGAAAAAAAAAAGGATATGTTTTTAGCTACACAAGAAACTAAATGAAGGAAAATTAACTACAAAGTATCATGTAGACCAGGTTGAGGTTGAAAAACAAATGTACAGTATTTTACATTCACTAAATTATCAACTATAAACAAATTGTCAGCCATCCCTAATTCTCTCAAATTTAAACACTGTTTAAAAAATGCTAAGACTTTTTTCCAGTGGACTCCAATTGCATGTCATGTCAGCTTGTCTGCATGCTCAACTATAGGCTACATTCTAATATGTTTAATTATTTTCAACTAAATAAACAGAATCACAATAACATGTTCTATAAATAATTTAATTAAAAATGTGTTGCTTACCTTTATATGAAATCCAGGATAAGTGCCATTTTCTTCAGGTATTTTGCATCTTACTGCCTCAATAGGGTAGGAGATGTGGTCAATAACTTCTTGAATGACAACAACCCTGAATGTCCACCACCTGAAACAGAAAAGGATATCACTAAATGAAAAACATAACAAGATCACTTCAAAAAAACGCTCTAAACATAGTTGTTTAAATATTCCCTATACAATTTGTATTTCTACCGACCATGTAAACATAAATATCTTTGAAGGGGGTATTCAGCAACCAACTTTTTCTATAAACAGACTTTATTCTTCAGACCTTGAATTCAAATGTGTTTTGCCAGTATTGAACATTCATAATAATGCTAATAAAACAAAATACAAACCCATAAGAAGCATGCAGGTGGTTCTTGGGATGTAAACTACAGCAGAAAAGTCCTGTTAATAGATAAGAAAACAACAGAAACATTATGAAATAAATAAATGAGGAGGGAAGGAATGACTAATATTACAGGCAGAAGTTTAGATAATAGCAGTCATGCTAAATGTAAATTAATCTTTCAATTTTTGGAGTTTAAAGTCGCGTGTGTCATCAAAACAAAAACATGAAGTCTAACGCAAACATAACGTTAACTTACCTCATTTTGCAGAAAAGGTGCTGGTGTTTTCCTTGATGCAGCTGTACCGGTTAAGTTACTGCATATTCACACACAGTCTCTTCTGACATGTTGTGTCTTCATGCCTTTCAAATCAAGCAAGTCTTAATGGCGTTTACTTTTCTTGACGATTCCTCTGGTTGCTTTTGCTTGAAGGCATTAAATTGCTCTAAAAACACTAGCTAACGTTAGAAATATCACAACTGGTTAACGGATTCGCTCGGCAAGAAATAAACCGCATCACGACAAATAAAAGTAAATAAGCCCATTACAACAAGGACACTACAATCGAGAACCTCCACGAGTCTTAAATCTTTCAATGTGTGACGATATCCATAAAATGATAAACGTGACGGCTCCGACATTCATTTGCCTAACAGTTAATGCCAGATGGTAACTAAAAATAACGTTACGTTAACAGCTTTTTTGACATCAAGCAAAACATAATTTTCGTTTTTAAGTTTAAGTTTTACCACATAAGTGTCAGAATGGCTTCCACACACCCGAAATCCGGTGTTCTGACATTCCATCCTACCCGTCAGATTGTCCTACCAAGTCTTACTGCGCATGCGCACATCAATAATACGTCATTTTTGTCACGCTGAACAACACGCCCATAATATTTTACTACTTGCGCGAGATCTTTTTTCACTATTTATGTCAATTATTACTATACAAAGATATAATAGCAGTAATGAGAACTGTTTACTCTCACATTAAATTGATGAATTGGCGGCGAATTGATTTGATTGTTTGGTGTAAAATATAAACACACACACGATTATACTACTCGTTTATTTCATACTGGTAGGACAATCTGATGAGGCATTTTGCACTGTAAAATCATACTACTCGTTTATTTCATACTGGTAGCACAATCTGATGAGGTATTTTGCAACGTAAAATCATCCTACCGTTTATTTCATAGGACAATCTGAAGAGGTAACTTACTTTTCACTGTAAAATCACCGTAACATAGCCTAATAAGAAAATTCGGCAAAGTTACACTGAAATATTTTATGTACTAGTCACAGACGCGAAGCAGAAACGCTCAGTAGGATTTTACGACGAGGTAGGATGAACCGATAGATATGGCTATAATTTTGCGCTACGGTAGGAAAATCTGACAAGGTAGGACAGATCGACAGAACACCGGCTCTAAAAAGGAACTTTGCCCGCGGTCATCTGCGTGCTGCCGGGATCTTGTTCCCACAATGCAACGCGTAATTCAAAAGAAGGGTAAAAGACCCATAAAAGACAAATACGGAAAAAATCCTTCACATTTATATGGTACATTGTACCGTATTTTTACGGAAATTTTTTACAGTGTAGTGGCCCTCCCTTGCTCAGCGCAGGCTAACACTGTGGCGATTGTTTGTGGATAAATATTGGGACATTGCCCCCTTATTTATGTAGGCTTATATCCTTCAAGACCAGCACTCGCTCCCTGCGGTCTAATGATAATCTCCACATGATTGTGCCTAGGGCTCGAACAGAGTAGGAAGCAAGCATTTCGAATTTTTGCCCCATAAGCGAGGAACCAATTACAGAATGACTTAAAACTTGATAACTTAGTCTCCTTTGGTCACTTTAAACTCAGCCACACGCTCTATTAGATTTTCCTGCAGGGTTACAATATTTGGAGTGATAGCTGTGGAGCTCCTTTTATTTGAGAACAAGACCGTCTTTTCAACCATTCAACACAAGTCAAAAAGCTTAGATTGTACAATATCAAAGCCATCCTGCAGGTACTGAAAAGTCTCGTGAAGGGTTTCTCCACAACAGAAAATAATTGTGTCATCAGCATAAAAATGAAACAGAGCATTATGGACATTTGAGCCAAGATCATAAATTTTACATAAATGGTAAATAAACGTGGACCCAGCACCGACCCTTGAGGAACCCCTGATACAACTTGTAAGTTCTCTCTCTCTCTCTAAATTGTAAGTTAGTAAGTTCTAATCCCTCTATCTGAGAGATGATTTTCAAACCAACCAAATGCCTTCTCAGAAAGACCAGAGCAGTCTCTGTTTTAAAATACAATGGTTCACTGTATCAAAAGCTTCAGAAAGATCAATGAAAAGAGCTTCACACTTTTTGCCTTTTTGCTGTCCAGTGCCTCAATGATGTCATTCACCACCTTCAATGAAGCAGAGATTGTACTATGTTTCTACGGTACTATGAAACTCTGATGGGATATTATGAACACTCAGGAATTCTTTCAGTTGTTCACTTACTAGTCTTTCTAAGACCGCTGACAGCACAGACAAGTTGGAGATAGGCATATAGTTGTTTAGCAAGGTAGGATCTACTCTCTTTAAAAAAGGGAGGACATGAGCAGATTTCCAGATTGATGGCATAACATTCTGGACCAAAGACAAAATAAAAATACACATAAGCAGTTTAGCAAAAAAATCTGCAGCAATTTAAAAAAAAATGGCTCTAAACAATCTGAGCCGGCAGGCTTTTTGATGTCCAATGACATTAGGGATGCACATCATTGATTGAAGACGGGGCAAAGGTAAAAGACAAAGGCTGGCCAACACAACATCTTCCCGCAGGATTACCATCAGAAGAGGAGGTTTTTGGAGATGGAGAGTGGTCAAACAAAGAACCAGATGCAACAAAATGTTCATTAAAACATTCTAGCATTGCCGATCTTTCCGAGATAATTTTATCATCCATGGGAAGGCAGTTCATTATGAGATTTACAGTAGTTAACAAAATTGACTGGATAGACTTCCAAAAATCCTAGGGTTATTTAGATTGTCTGTAGTGGCCGCTAGATAGAATTCAGTTTTAGCAAAACTGGTTCCGTAGTTATCTAAAATGAATCTTATCGTCCTCCAACCCAGAATTTCTAGCCTTTGCCCAAGCCATATCTCTCTCCTGAAGAAGTTTGCTGAGTTCCGTCGAAAACCAAGGGTTGTCTGTCTCGTCCCTTGACTCTAAACTTATGCATAGGAGCATGTTTATTAATAAGTTGCAAAAATCCATAATGTTTTTGCAAGTATGAAAATGATCAAGAATTTCCAGGCTATCTCAACATCATCAATAAGCCCAATGCTGTCCCAATTAAAATAATATAAATCATGTAAAAAACCTCGTAAGGAGAATTGTTTCATGTCACGTTTTTCAATGCATCCAGGCCTGGATTTTGGAATTTTTGCATTTCAAACTGCAGCAATCGTACAATGATCACTAATGTCATTAGCAAACACACCAATTTCAGAAAATTTATGAGGTGCGTTTGTCAATAGTAAATCAATTAGAGTAGATTTCTCTGGGTGTTTTGAATTTGGGCGAGTAGGAGACACAATTAATTGTGTGAGATTTAATTCACTGCAATTGCCCTTTATTCTGTCTGAAGCAGGTTTGAACCAGTCCCAGTCCCTGCCATGATAATCTCACTTTACCCAAGGGTCAAGTCTATCCCCTGTCCATCCCGGAGCAGAAGGCCATGGAGGATTACATCACGGAGGCACTTCGTCAGAGTTTCATTCGCCCTTCTACATCCCCTGCAGCTTCTAGATTCTTTTTTGTGGCAAAAAAGGACGGAGGCTTGCAGCCCTACATCGACTACCGGACTCTTAATTCCCAAACCATCAAGTACAGTTATCCCCTTTCTCTTGTCCTCTCAGCCCTGGAACAACTACATGGTGCCTGCATTTTTGCAAAATTAGATTTACGAAGTTGAGAACTTCTACTGCAGATTTATCCATAACTACAGTCTTCTCAGCTCCCCACTAACTTCTCTCCTCAAATCCCGGCCCAAGTCTCTGTCCTGGACTCCAGAAGCCACCACCGCCTTCTCCACTCTCAAGGACACCTTTATTTCCGCTCCCATCCTAACCCATCCAGATCCAGAATTGCTGTTCACCATGGAGGTAGATGCTTCTTCCACTGGGGCGGGAGCGGTGCTCTCACAGCGGCAGGGTAACCCTCCTTTACTCCATCCATGTGCCTTCTACTCTAAAAAGCTGTCCCCGGCGGAGAAGAACTATGACATCGGCAACAGGGAGCTCCTCGCCATCAAGCTGGCACTAGAATTGTGGAGAGACTGGCTGGAGGGAGCTACGCACAAGTTTGAAGTTATCACAGATCATCGAAATCTAGAATACCCCAGAGAAGCCCGTCACCTCAATCCACGCCGAGCCAGATGGTCCCTTTTCTTCACGAGGTTCGACTTTCTAGTTACTTACCGACCTGGATTTAAGAATTCCAAAGCTGATGCTCTTTCATGCCTCCATCAACCAGACATCCGACTCGCCTCCCAAACAGAACTTGCTCGTCGGGAGGTCCAGAAGGGGGCATCTATGTCCCTACATCTTTCTGTCTAGCCCTTCTGGACTCAGCTCACACCTCTCCGGGCTCTGGACACCCAGGTAGCCAGCGAACCCTCTCACTCCTTCGCCATTGCTACTGGTGGCTGTCTATGACCCAAGACATCTCCCAATATCTCAAGGGTTGCTCAGTCTGTGCCATCTCCAACACTCCCTGTCGACTACCCGCTGGCAAACCGGTTCCATTACCCATCCCTCGTCGCCCTTGGTCCCATCTGGGAATTGACTTTATGACTGACCTTCCTCCCTCAGAGTCCAATAGTTAGTCAAACAGAGTCCAATAGTCCAATAGATTTTCCCCTAGCGTAAGATATTACGCAGTACGAGAGAACCTTTCGTAAGAGAACTTCAGGCACTCTGGCCGACGGTGACGTCACGCGCATACCCTCTAATAATTAATTAAATAATTAATTAATTTGTTACATTTATATAGCGCTTTTCTGGACACTCAAAGCGCTTCACATAGAGGGGGGGGGGGGGGGGGATCTCCTCAACCACCACCAATGTGCAGCATCCACCTGGATGATGCGACGGCAGCCATATTGTGCCAGAACGCTCACCACACACCAACTTACTGGTGGAGAGGAGACAGTGATGAAGCCAATTGGTATAGATGGGGATTATTAGGAGGCCATGATGGACAGAGGCCACTGGGCAAATTTGGCCAGGATGCCGGGGTTACACCCCTACTCTTTCGAAAGACATCCTGGGATTTTTAATGACCACAGAGAGTCATAGACACAGAGAGTCATAGTCATAGCATAATAGTTCATAGTTTGTTGTTCCTCACGAACCTGTTTGACTTGAGTCATCCTATTAGACCAGTGGTTCTGGTCTAATACCACTGTATTAGACCATAGTGACGGTCAGAGTGAGGTCGAAACAAATTGTAAGTAATGAATATAACTATGGATCTGTGAGACCGAAGGATGACCATCACTATCCTTGTCGCTCTGAACACTAGGGCGTTCAAGGTAAGAGAACGAGCTGGAAGTTTAACTTGCCTTTTATAGTGCATAGGGTCATGGGCATGACTTTGTTTACATAAGCTCTCAAGAGAAGGCGGAACAAAGCTCCTATTAGACTGTAGTGACCGTCATCCTTCGATCTCATAGATCCATAGTTATATTCATAACTTACGGGCTTGATTTTGAGTGTCATGCTGTGATGTAATTTGAGTGACAGGTTACTCGTTTCAGTAAACAAAAAAGAAGAGATGTCGCTGCAAGAGGGAAAGGAAGTCATTTTGGTTAAAGATAACAGGGCAAATGAACAGACACATTATTTATAAAAACAAAACAAGCATTGTCCATACTTATGACAATATATCATGGGAGAAATCCTAACAAAGACTACCATGGTAGCTAAGAAATAATTTGTCATCGTAGTTTCTGTTTAGTTTTTCATTCGTTTCTACATTGGAGTAGAGATTGGAGCTTGCATTTAACCCAAGCTTTGCACTAAAAGGCAAACTCTGCCCCTGTAGTATGCCATGATATTCTTTGAAGTATCTTTTTAAATATAATTTACAATGTAAATGCCCTGGTACATGAATATATTACCCGTCACACAATCACACTACTCACTCAGTAAGATTTAAAGCTTTGGCTTTTCAGTTTTACCCAAAGCACAGTCGTGCCTCCTGTTGGCCATTTGTTAGATTCACACATGACTGCACTGAGATGGACAATACCAGAGATTGATAAAAAAGTGTCTCTTTATTTGATCGTGTTGTTGACGCCATTGTTTGTAGGACATAGTAACACATCATTAACATGACATTACATGAGGAAAAACTGACATGTTCATGCACAACAGGGTACAGATACTTCTGAACTACTAACAAAACAATAAAACCTTCATTTTCATATCAAAATACAGAAACAATTTGTTCAAGCACCCAATATGTTTGCAAACTGAAAATGAAGCAAATATTAAGTCTTGTTCAACAGTTCAGCAATCAAACACTTGCATCAATATGGGACATCCTGTGGGATGAGGTGTATTTTTGAAAGTTAAATTCATACTTTTTTGGAAAAAGACAACAATGCTGTCAAGAAGACATTTCTAGATCATTTTATATTTGGATTAAGTCTCATCCTGTTCTGCCAAATAATCTTTAAGTTGAATACTAGATAGATGTTTTTCAATTGGTCTGATGTTTCTGTAAAATCCCTGTACTCACATGTGTAAAACTGCAGGATAGTGGCAAACATTTACATCTCAGACATAGATCTCTTATGATACAAACATCGATAAATTAATTAGTAGAAAATATATACATTTGTCTTTGTAAAATAAATAAGTAAAATTTGTGATGGATAAGAAAAGGAAATGCAACTTTTGTAACCAGTGTTAGTGACTGAACTGGTGAGGCCAGTTTGTCAGACATTTCATTAATAAGTTGCTGTAAATTAGATAAAAGTAGACAGTTGTAGGAAGATTATTGAAAGTTATACATTGTATAAAAATTGCATGCAGTAAACAAGCAGTTTCTCTCCTCTGAGATGGAAAGACCCGTGTGTTAATCTGTAGAACCGTCCGGTTTGATGATCTGATATGTGATCAAATATTCTGGATAAGCCTTGGGATGCAAAATTAAAAATGTAGTATTAGTTTCACATGATAGAATCTGTCAATATACAGTATATATACAGTATATATATATATATATATATATATATATATATATATATAGTATATATATATATATATATAGCAATTATATTTCACAGCAATTAATTGTATTCAATTAGAAAGATTAAATTGATCCTAATTGACAGTAAATAGATTTATAGTGTTTTCAACATTGATAATAACCAGAAATATTTCTTGAGCAGCAAATCTGCATTAGAATGATTTCTGAAGGATCATGTGACACTGACGACTGGATTAATGATCCTGAAAATTCAGCTTTGATCACAGGAATAGAATATAAAATAAAATATATAAAATATTAAAATATATTCATATAAAAATAGGTATTTTAGATAGTTTTTTTTACTCTTTTTTACTGTATTTTTGATCAAATAAATACAGCCCTGGTGAGCAGACCCAAACCTTTGACCCAAAGTGTACACATCACCAAATTAAAGTTTTGTTTATTTTTGTAGAAATATTTGCAATTTTATTTAGAATAATAGAATTTTAAATTTTATGAAGAAATGGTGAGGGATTCTTGCATGAAACACTTTTCACACACAAAAAAAGTTTTTGTCTACGAATTAAAATGGGTTGAGAATACTAGTTCATGTTGACCATAAATAGATCATTCTGGAGCCCACTGCTGTATTACCTGCTCTCCTCTGTAGATGACGTATTCAGCCAGAGCAAGACCATTGACACTGGGCCGGCCAGTGACTGAGTGGTGTCCTGGTGGCGAGTGGGCCATCTTCATAGCGCTGAACTGCAGGAAGGACTTTCCCAAAGTCACACGGCAGAACAGAAGATGCCTGGGATAGATAGACAGAGCCAAAATCAAGAGCATAAGCACTTTAGAAAGGAAATAGAAAAATCAATTTCTCCTCAAGGTTTTGGAAAAGAACCCTTTGCTGAAAAAACACTTAGGACCCGTCCACACTACTGTGTTTTCGTTTAAAAACGGAGACCTTTTGCTACGTTTGCACCTCCCGTCACGTGATCCGCGTTTTCAGTCGTTTTAATGTGGACGGAGATCAATTCTAATACGCAGATAAAACGCTGGTGTGGACGGAGATCGTATTCGTTTTAATTCTCCGTTTTTAAACGAAAACGCAGTAGTGTGGACGGGGCCTTATATTAGCACAATGTTCTGGGAAACATGAAGCCACTTAAATGAGAGCCCTGGCCTCCATTCGCTGTAACGGGATCTCATCTCACCTCTGACACACGTAACATGACCTGTCCTTGTGAAGAGGGCAACCTGTTCCTCCTCCTATTCCGTAAACATACTGGTTGCTTTTGGAAGAGTTTTCCGCAAAATAGATCCCGGCCCCGAACATTCCCCCAATGTACGCATGTCTCTCATCGAAGCCCTTGTGAATGATGGCATTTACGAACGGTGAACCTGGGAAAGCAGAAACGTTTCTTCAAGGTTCCATTGATCAGAATTGGGCTGCAAATAATAATTATTTTGATAATCGATTAATCAGTCGATTATTTTGATTAAACAAATGGAGGAAAAAAGCCCAAATCCAAAAATAATAATTTTAATTAAAAAAATATATTATTTTATTAAATTTATGGTCACAATTTGCACTAAAACTAACTAATAACTATGACATTTGCCTCAAAAAAGTCTTTGATTATTTCTTTATTTTTTATTATTTTATAATCATTTTATTATTATTTATTTATCAATTAGTTGTTACAGCCCTACTGCTAATAGCAGTGAATGAATGAGTTTTTAAACCAGGCCTTGGATGGAAGGACAGATCACACACCATGGAACAGCATGCGTTCATTGGAATGGTTGTGGTTCTCCTCAGAAACCTCCTTCCTACGATGAGTGTATCTCTCCCACAGCTTCTTGTTGCACACCTTCTGGATCTAGGACCAAAAAGAAAAGATTTTTGTGGCACTTTTTAATTTGATAACATTACATTACAGATGGACATACATTAGGCATGGACTACTGAAATAAACATGAACTAGCAACAATAAACCATTAACCTGGATTAATACAATGTTGTAAAAGTATTGTTTCTTGTTAATTCATGATGCCTTATGCATTATCAAATGTTAACAAAATATTATAAAGTGTTTTCTTTATTATACCAAGTTTCTTGCCCGGGGCATTGTAACGCCACATTTTTTGGTTTGGTATGGAAAAAAGTTAAAAAGTTAACTATGGACTAAGCAGACACAGTTTAACAACATCCTAATATAAAAAAAAGAAGAGACAAACTATGAAGTCATTCAAATCTCTTACCTTTGCAATGTTGTATCTGTTAAAAATCCCACCCGCATGACCACCATCCCTGTGTTCCCTTATTGTGCTTTGCATCTGTTCAGAGACACAAGAAAACCAAATTAAACAAAGCACATCCTCTGTGTTTTAACAATTATACTACACATTCTGTCCGTGGGTACTTATTTGTATGGTTTCATATATTATTATATGAAATTAATAAGTGATTAATAAGCCACTTGAGCCACATGTGCATGCTCTATTACTGGATTCTCCTAGTACACTTATGGATAACAAGATTGCAATTATGTTAAAGAAATATATCAGAGGCAGATGCTGATCAAAGTGAAAAATGATAAACATATGAACAAAACTCTACCTCCTCCTCAACGGACTGAAACTCCTTGTCGTCTGGAGACAGATCTATCAGTATTGTTCCACTGTTGGTCGTGTTCAGGGTAGAGTAAGGGTTTAAACCTGGAATGGGGATATAAAAATGTAAGTGCAAATTAATCTGCAAAACACGAGTGAAAAAAGGGGGGGGAATAATTATAATTATTTACTTTGTAATTTATTAATAACTACTATTATTTAGCTGTCAATATATATTTGTTATATATTAGGGATGCACAATATATTGGTCACCATATTGGTCTTGTTGGCCGATAAATGTTCATTCTTAAAGGAGTAGTTTACTTTTTAAAAACTTTTGCTGATAATTTACTCACCCCCATGTCATCCAAGATGTCCACGTCTTTCTTTTTTCAGTCGAAAAGAAATTAAGGTTTTTGATGAAAACATTTCAATATTTTCTCCATATAATGCACTTCATTGGGAACCAAACGGTTCAAGGTCCAAATGAGAATTTCAATGCAGCTTCAAAGGGCTTTAAATGACACCAGACGATAAATAAGGGTCTTATCTAGGATCCTTCAAGTCATGACTTTTGTTCAAAGAAAAAAGATTTGTTCATTTTGATGAAAGAGTTTGAACAGGAGAGTCACGAACGCTCATCACAGAACAGAGCAAGGCAAGCATTTGTGCTTATAAAACTTAAACTTTATTTTTGAAATGGCCGACGGTTTCGCTAGATAAGACCCTTATTCATCATCTGGTGTCGTTTATAACCCTTTGAAGCTGCACTGAAACTCTCATTTGGACCTTGAACCATTTGGTCTCCATTGAAGTCCATTATATGGAGAAAATCCTGGAATGTTTTATCAAAAACCTAAATTTCTTTTCGATTGAAGAAAGACAGACGTGGACATCTTGGATGACATGGGTGAGCAAATTATCAGCAAAAGTTTTTTTAATGACTAAAGGATAAAACTCCTTTAATGTTATCGTTTTGTTTTTTGTAATCACGCTCTCAAAAATGATATAAAAACTTGGATTTAGAATTATCGGCCAATATAATGGTTATTGGCTTTCAAATATAAAGAATCACTGCTTATCGGGCAAAGATTTCATATTGGTGCATCCCTAAAATATATGCTAATCAATTCATTATGAATTGCAATCAATCACATATATTAATATTTGCTAAAACATAAATGCGTTTGAGAGTGAGAGTAAGAATCTTAAAAAAAAACATCATGCTTAACTGTAATGCCGATAGAGGGGATGTAAAATGAAATAATTTTTGACATTATAACTTTGTTTAACATTAAAAGCTGACTTCAGGATAAGTAAATAAACTTATGTATAAAATGACCCCACTAAAAAAAAACAGCTTGTCCTAAGAAAAAGATCCAACGTTAAGCAGAGTTCTTAGTGGAAACAGATCAAAGTGATCTTTAAACCCTCTCTCTAATTAAGCATTCTCTCAAATGAACTGTTCTAGATGAAAGAAGAGGCTCTTACTCTGAGGTCCACTAATAAGCCTTTCCACTCCTTTGATGATCTTGTGTCTGTGACCGTAAGCGGTGATACCGATCTCCTTCAGCTCTTTGTGTCCCATTTCCACCAGAACGTCCAGAGTTATCTAACGACACAAACCAGGCATGTGACTAATGTATTAATCCACTGATCAGCAAGAGGTCAACATTGTGTTCCTCTAGAGTATCTCAATATCTCAATAATGTCAGTTCTGAAGCTACAACATATTTTGGGGGATATAAGCTGCAGTCCGTAGTTTTTCCTCTTTGTTGCCATTTCTGTTGGAAATCTGAAATTGCAGTTATTCGTGGAATTATCAACTTTAGAACTTTATTCAGAATCACAAAAGCCGCTTTTTCCTCTTTGTTGCCATCTCTGTTGGAAATCTGCAATTGCAGTTATTCGCGGAATTATCAACTTTAGAACTTTATTCAGAATCCCAAAAGCCGCAATGGCCGCCACGTAGACTTTAAGCGTGGAAGGACTTAGACCTGACGTAAAGCGCTCCTGCAGAAACTCGAGTACTGTGTTGACAGAACAGTTAACCGGATCCCACTGATGTCGGTGACACCATACAGAAAAAAAACTCTCCATTTAAGCGCATATAATTTCCTAGTAGCTGGATCTCTGGAGCTTAGAATGGTCTCAACAACCTCAGTTGAGAGACCACTCTCTATGAGTTGGGCCCCCTCAGCGGCCAAACCCACAGGTTCCAAATCTCTGGTCGGGGGTGGAATATTGTGCCCCTGGCCTGAGACAGATGGTCTCTCCTAAACGGGATCTCCAAGGGAGGACCGTCTAAGAGATGAATCAGGTCTCTAAACCAAATCCGACTCGGCCAGCGTGGTGCTACTAGAAGTAGGGTTATTCCGTACCGGCGGACTCGCTCCAGAACTCCTGGGAGCAGAGCAACAGGGGGACATGCGTACAGACGTAGCCTCGGCCAAGTCTGCACCATAGCATCCAGCCCCAAGGGGCCTGGATGAGTCAGGGAGAACCATAGTGGACAGTGCGTCGTATGCTGAGACGCAAACAGATCCACCTCTGCCTGGCCGTAAAACTCCCAAATTTTCTCCACCGCCTCGGGGTGAAGTCTCTAGAATCCCCCTCAGAGGGTGTGAAACTGATGCAGTGCCGCAGCATAGCATCAGCGACTCGCTGGAGACCGCTGTGTCCAGAAGCAACGAGGGTGACAGGGTTGGCAGAACGGTCCCGTGAGGACCCCGAAATGGAACGGGCACCGTATTCTGAGGTGCACACTTCGGTTAGGGCTGTCCTCACAGGTCTGACGCCATTGGCATCAGGACCTCATTTTTTGAGCCGAAGTCTTCTTCGCCTGAAAAACGGTCCTCAGATGCGGCTTCGACTTAGAAGACTTCGACTGAGACTGTTTCGCCTGTTTCCAGTGTCTCTGTGGAGGTGTGCGAGACGAAACACTCTCTTTCTGTTGCACACATTAAAATGAGCGTCTTAGGTTACGACTGTAACCATAGTTCCCTGAAAAAGGGAACAAGACGATGCGTCACCTTGCCATACTTCCAGCATGCCTGTGATCGGCTTACTTCGGCAATATTTCGAAGCTAATGTCGGTTTGCACCTGATGTGCATTTATCCCTTCCTGGTCATGACGTTCATTCTTTCCATTGGACTAGTTGACATAGATGCTTCAGGGGCATTCATGCCGGGGGCGTTTCCGTCTCGTTCCCTTTCTCAGGGAACTATGGTTACAGTCGTAACCTGAGACGTTTCATTCTAATGAATCAAAATTGTATCTGTCCCATTTGTTTCATGGTAAAGGCAAGTTCATTCTAGTGAACAGGTTCATCCTAAATGGTTCTTTCTCGCTTATGTTGCATTGGACAGTCTGATTCATTCTAGTGAACCAGTTCACAGTTCTGTCACACATATGTAGCATTAGAATTAAGTTTCATTCATTCTAATCAATTGTTTCTTTCGGACAGTTCATGCAAATCAAAAGATTCACAAAAATAATTTTGAAACAGATAAATTAGGGTGTTATTGTTGTATTTAGCAAAATGCACCTGTTTGTGTTTGATATTGTGATCTTGGTCATTTATTCAAAACCCCTTCAGTGTTTTGCTTTTAGCTTAACAAGTTAATGTTTCAAAGTAGCTTTGCCAGTGTCCTAGTCTGACTGCGATTCTAAAACTCAAAGTGTCGGTATAGTTGTGAAATCTGTCTTGACTCAGACTCGAATGAGTTGGCTTTGACTACAACACTATAATAGACATTGAAACAGAAGCAATTACCTGCTCTCTGTCAAAGATCTCTAGCAAATGTTCCAGGCCCAGGTTGTGAAGGAACTGGCTGATGCTCAACTCCATAGCTAGACCTGAAAACCAACAGGTTATTTGCAGAAAGCTTTCAGTAGTCACCAGATATTTGCAACAAGGTTGAATCTTGAATTAACCCACCCTCCTCTTTCATCTCTATGCCTACGTCCCCTTCGACTCCAGAAGACGGCAGAAGTGTGGTCATCTCGGGGAAGGTCATGGACTGGCCGTCCAGACCGGAGTTTGAAGAGAGCGGTGTGGGACTCGAGCTGAGAGTGGATGGCATGACTCCCACAGATGTCGAGACGCTGATAACCTGGGGCTTATAGCACGCTGGCAGTGCTGAAGGAGGCATGGCTGCCGTGAGAAGGGCTCGCACATCGTCTGTCTAGAGAGAGAGAGAGAGAGAGATGCATGCGCAACATCAGAAAGTCCCAAACATTTAAGTAACAACCAGTTTCTGGTTTGGACTAAACTCGCCTTTAGTCGCAAACTTATGTGAGCGTCAGTCAGATCTCAAGCATGTAGACCGTGAGTTTTTATCAACAAAAATGCAAATAAGGAAGCATTTGAACACAAGACCAGTGAAAATGCTAATTTCATTTACAAGCTGTTGGCATGCATCCTTGGTTAAAGGGATAGTTGACACAAAAATGAAGATTTCGTCATCATTTACTCATCCCAGTGTTATTTTAGTATCATTGATATACTATTATACTTTTGTTAATATTTTGAACTCGATTTTATATTTTCTTTTTCACCTGATATTTTATGTTGGGCATTGTGTTCAATAAAGTAAGTATTTTTATGAGAAAATATTCAAAAAAAATAAAATAAAATTCAAAGCAGTGGATACAGATACAGTTATTATTTAGTGTTTAGTAAACCAAAGGAATAATTAAAGGTGCTATATGTATTTTTTAGCGGCCTCTATCGGTGATGTTTCAGATTGCAACCAATTTTTACAAGAGCGCTCGTGCTCTTGCGCTCGAACACAAGAGCGAACACCCATGGTACACGGGTCCACATCCACACTGAGACTTTACACACACCGGAGAAAGCATCACACAACATGCTGGAAACTCATGTAAACTCCCACCGCAACATTGCAATAATAGGCTATTATTATCAGCTTGACTGAACTAATGCTCCATGCTCGTACCATGATAACGTTACATTTGTGCTAGTGTTACCTAGCATAAGGCATTTCACTAACTATTTGTGTATCTTTCACAATCAGCAATGTCAACATAGCTGAATGTATAATTTGATAACGAAAACTCTTTGTGAACTAGACTGAACAATTTCAGTGTAACAGTAAGATTGTAGGAAGTAACATTACTGAACTGGGGTGCGTTTCCCGAAAGCATCGTTAGCCAACTATGGTCGCAAGTTCCGTCGTTATCAGCATAGTTCGATTCAACGATTCAGTGTTTCCCGAAACCATCGTTCCAACGAACATTCGCAAACAGCATCGCAAAGTTGTGTGGTTTGAACGACAGCTCTCGACCTATGGTTAGAGGCATCGTTTCTATATTGCATGACATTTGGAGGTAATAAATCCTTATCTTGAGCAAAATAAGCAAGCTGACATTCAGTACAATCGATGTCTTTTATTTAGAATACATACAAATGGAATTTAAGTCTTTTAGTTTGTCAAAAGATTTGAAGTAACGTGTTTGAAGAGTGCGCATGTGCGAACGTGCATACTATGTAAGAACAAGCCAAATATTGAGTCTGGTAATAAAGCAAAACAACTGAGAACAATTAGAAATAGTTCTCAGATGACATGTCTGTAATTTATATAAAACAAATCTAGCATTAATTGGATCTCAAACAGTTTCATTAAGAGTAGTTATTCCTCCACCATGTGCGAAACCAACGTGGTTGAAAGATACTTTGCGACAGTGGGTTTCGGGAAACAGTCGTGACTAGCTAGTTGATTTTTCCAACGATACATCGTACTATGGTAGCGAACTACGTCGTTGTACGGGAATCATTAGATTAATTGGCTAATCGTTAGTTGCAGCCTTAGTTTAAAGAATGTTCAAGCTGCTCCTTTCAAAACTTTAATGTCATGAGGCTGCATTCATGATGACAGAATCTTCATTTTTGGTTGATATCCCTTTAAATATCTTCCTCCAGGCATATTTCTCCACTCCAGACGTTACTGCATGTGCAAATGTGGAGTATTTTCAGGCTATGTTGAATGGAATGATCAGTAAGCCTCCTCAAGCACTGAATACACAAAAAGAAAAGTACCAACCCCATTAGAACAGACAGATTTATGACAATAAAACACTAAGAGATAATTCTCCCTAGCATGATTATAAGAAGTTTGGCTTGAGAAGGTTTAACTGTATCAGAGGTGCAGAAAATGAACAGAGTGGTTGGCGACAAGGAGAAAGATCTTCTTTCCCCGATTGTGGCTTGTCCAATAAGCACACAGAAAGAGTGAATACCGTCACGAGGTCCAGCGGCGACTGGCCTTCCTGGTTGCGGAGCGTGGGGTCGGCCCCGTGAGCTAGAAGCAGTGCACACAACTGGGTCCTGCCTTTCTGCGCCGCCTCGTGCAAAGGGGTGAACGCCCACTTATCTGTGGCACTGACGCATGCGTTGTACTTGATGAGCAAAGCGGCCACATCCACATGCTGCAATGAAACACATGGAGCGGTCGTTCTCTCGGGTTGGTGTCTTTTTCACTTCCTGACGAAAGTCGCTGCATGAATATGACTAAGCATGGCTGCCAAACGGCACCACACCTTTTCCCCTTGCCCAACAGGTTATTATGAAATATGAGGAGGTGAACACAACCCCTGCACAACTATAAACTGTCATTCCAAACATGTACTGTATGACTGACCATTTCGGCTGCCATATTTGAAAATGCTGAAGCACAAAAGATTGTCAGTGAAATTTCGATCTGTTCCTCACACATATGCTATCATATGATTTGGAATATAGGGGAGAGCTGGGCCCAAACGAACACTTTTTGACTTTGTGTATATTCACTTAGGGTTCAGAGTATTTACTTTCCCCCACAATTTACATGTCTAGTACAATTATGTGGTTTTGTTTCATTAATACAGTGTATACTTTCTTTATTTATCCCGAAAGAATGGAAGTGAAATGTGACAACATGCCCCATAGGTGGCTTACATTGTAACATGAACAGATCTATTAAAAAATATAAGACTAACTAAAATATTTTGTCAATAAAATACAATTATTACATTTTTCATATAAAATAATGCCATTTTTTAATAATTAAAACGAAACAAATTTTTGAGTTTGACAACGAACACGATACTGTAGTTCAAAACATAATAATTCATCATTGCTGAACAAAGTCTTTATTCACCTCTTTCTCATGGTTTCTTAATATAATTCGTAAAATTTGTTAATGTGAGTTATATCACAAACATCATGGAATAGCATAGTCCTAATAGGGGCACTTTGTAACGCAGTGTTACTTACAACATGCTAACCTGCGCAACTGGGATTTAAACGCAGCTAGTGTCTTCTGCTGGTTAGATCAGCATTAAAGAACCTGAAATTAAAATAATAGCAGATTTGCCTGATTGTATATAATCGCTAAAAACTAAGATGAAAAATTAACTTCAATAAGAAATTTACTTTTGCTATTTCGTTAAATAAATGTAAATAAATGTTAAATTCTTTATATAGTGCAGATATGGCAACTTATAAATACACAAGTTTTATCATGCTGGCATGAGTGGAAACATTTAAAACCGTGTGTGTTAAACATGGCCCATGTTAGGTTACGCTCACCCCTATATTGGAATCTTATGGATTAATTTTATGGTGCTTCTTTGTCATTTTTGTAACTATATATATATATATATATAAAGAAAAGAAAGCCATACGGGTTTGGTTTGAGAAGACATATTGGTGAAAAAATTCTTGAACTATTCATTTAAGAAATCTTTATAAGATTGCAGATATCTGGGAAAAGGGAAAAGGTTGAGAAAGGTAAAGTAATTTTTTTACCAAACCAAATCAAGAATGTTCAGCTGCCTTTCACACTAGACAATCAGACTTTTGTGATAGACTGCTGCAGTGATGAGATTTTTTTGGAAGTTAGTATCACACTGGTGTCCTCGACAAACACAAAGGATTTTTTCCTTTGTCTTTTAAACTATTGCAAAAAAAAAAAGCTCTGTGATCAACAAAAGTTTATGATGCTTGCATGTTTTGTTCATCAAGATAATTTTCACAAAAGAACAAAACATTTTTTCAATTTTGAAGCCTAAATACAATTACCAGAAATTAAAAGTTAACCTTAGGCAATAAACAAACTCAACTTCAATGTCACAACCAAGAAGCTTCCAACTCGTTCAGACTTTAGTGATTGAAAAAACATTTTCCATTTGTGATTATAAACACAACAGGGCTCTGAAAGAGAGTAGATGAGTTAACCTGTTCAGGTGATGACGATTAATGTCCTCGACAACCTTTGTGGACACTTGTTAGCAAGTTAGCAACTACATTTTCAAGACATGTAAAAGCTTTAAAAATCATGAGTGGGGTATTACTGGTGTGTTTTATGTCGTAGAAGAAAATGTGGAAATAACTGATCATGTTAAATGTTATTACTCACCCCGTAAGATGCAGCATTGTGTAGGGGAATGAGTCCACCTTTATCCTGAGCGTTCACCTCTGCCCCGTGCTGCAGCAGATATTCAGCCACCTCCAGATTATTATAGCCAGCTAATCATACACACAAAACAAACACCAACATGAACATATACGTTCATATTTAAGATATTTTATTCATTTATTTGAGCATGTTTTCTCAAAAAGCAAGTTAATTTTTAGAAAGTTCACTTCAAGTACATTTTTTAATGACTATTCACCTCGCCATAGACTGGTTCCAAATGCAAAAGTAGCAGGCGGTACAGAGCCAGAATGTTTAAAAAGGTCTCCAGGTTAGGGTTATGCCTTTAAATCAACTGTGTATCTCAGATTTCGACCCATTCAATATGTGCTATATGCATAATTAGTGTTTTAATTCGAGAGAACACAATTCTCAGTGCGATTACACAGACTGTTTTCACTCTATTTATTATTTATATATATTTTTTTTAAAAAGTCTTTATTTCAGTATAAATCTGTATTTTAGTACCTACATTCCGGCGTTTTCCGGCGCTTACTCAGACCAAAGCGCCCGCGCCCTCAGATCACTTGGACGTGGCTGTGGTTACGTTAGGTAAAAACAATATAAATACTGTTCGTTTTCTCACACAAACCGCTCGTTTCGTGTCTTAGGCCATCAATGTGTACTTACATCTACGAGTCATTAAATCATGTTTAATTTGGACTTCTCTGTGCATGCTTTTTAAGGTGGTGACCATAGACTTCCATTATATGACTGACAGACAAGAACGGTTTTACCTAAAAATATCAAAATTGAAAATACTGTGGAAACAAAGACACCTACATCTTGGATGGCCTTGAGGTAAGCTAAAACATACCAAAAATTAATTGTGAACTAATTAGTGAACTATCCCTTTAAGTAAAGTATTATATGAAAGCATGCTATTTTGACCCACACATACCTGCGAGGTGCAGCGGAGTGGAGTGACGTCCCTGCGTGTCTCGACATTTCACGTTGTCTGGAGTGCAGATCTTTTTAACGCGAGCTAAGCAGCCTTTCTTAGCAGCGTCCAGCAGTGCTGCGTCCCCCCTGAGCAGATCCTGAACGTCTGTATCCTCATCCTTCACCAAGTCCAGAGGGGTGTTTCCATCCCGATTCTTTTTGGTCGGGTCGGCACCATGCTGTGTCGAGGAATTACTTTGTTATACTGTAGTGAACACAGCACTGAACACAGTGCTTCCTCCAGCACTTTGCTGCCATTAATGATAGAAATGATTTCTAATTGATTTTTAATCTGTGCTCTTCAATACCTGGAGAAGAAGTTTGCAGATCTCATATTTGCCCTTGGCGGCCGCCTCATGCAGTGGGGTGAACTTCCACAGGTCGGCCACGTTAACCAGGGCACCGCGAGTGACAAGGAGCTCAGCGACCTCATAATGCCCATAGGAACAGGCGTTGTGCAAGGGGACCAGGCCACTATATAGCACAAAACAGAGACATCATCTTACTTACACAATGGACCATTTTCACATTTCTCATTGTTGGGTAAACTTCTATAGTGGTGAACAGAAGACAACAAATATAATTTTCATATTCCCATTACCTAATAGCGAAACCGTTCCTAGATTAGTGATTTAATAAAACTGAATTTTATTGATTTGTTTATTTGTATAAATAAAAATACATTTCAACAGTCTATGTCTGCTTAATCAGAAAAAAACATGCACATTTATATTTTAAAAATGTTTCATGTTTGTTTATTTTTTATGTATTTTTTAATTATTTCAATGCTGTAATATTGCAGAGTACTAAAACTAAAGCACATTTATATTTCAAAACATTTCATGTTTGTTTGATTTTTTATGTATTTTTTTAATTATTTCAATGCTGCAATATTGCAGAGTACTAAACTAAAGCACATGTATATTTCAAAACATTTCATGTTTGTTTTATTTTTTTAAGTATTTTTTGATTATTTCAATGCTACAATATTGCAGAGTACTAAAACCATCTGGATAAAAATGACAAAAAAAAAAGTGCATGATTTGACCTTTTCATAAAAAGTGAGTCAGATGTTAATTCAACCTGCTGATTCATTAACTTGTAAATCTGTTTCATTAAAGAGGACGTATTACACCCTTTTACAAAGTTTTGATTTTGGGATCTACTTGAAAAGGTCATCCTGCTTGAATGGTCAAAAATCACTTTATTTTGACATATTTGACATTGCTGCAGCTCCTCTCTTCCCAGTCTGTCAGGAATCCTCTATTTAGTTCCTGTCTCTATGAAGGCCCTCCTTCTGAAAAGTGCAATGTGCTCTGATTGGTTGGCTGGATCAGTATGTTGTGATTGGTCCACCGCTTCCAGCATGTTTGGGAAATGTCACGCCCCTTACACTAACTGCATTAGATCTGGGTTGGAAAAAAGAGCGTCTCTTGGACATGCGACAACACGCTACAAACGCACCTCAACCTTTTGCCATCTCACCCCTTGTCTTTAGCGTGCACATCGGCTCCATGCAGCAGCAGATACTCCACCACAGCTACACGGTTGTACCCCGCCGCAAAGTGCAGGGGTGTGGACTGCCTTCCCTCCACGTCTCTACAGTTCACGTTCTGAACAGTACAGAGCTTCTACACGGAGAGGGGAAAAACAACCCATGGGAACATGGTATAATCAACTTCATAATGATTTCACAACTACATGGGGGTAAATTGATCCTTTCACATTGTTTGGTGTATTTTTAGTCCTCACCTTCACCACTTCCAGATCTCCTGATTTGGAGGCTTCTAACAGCTGCCTGTCTGTGTTACCTGTAAATGTTCCCTCTAGGAAAGCAACAAGCAAAAAATAACAAGCACGTTTTTATGTTTATGTGCTTTGTGTTTATTTTAAAGTGCCCTGATTATGTTATTTTAAAGGTTCCTAATTTTAGTTCAGGTCTCCTACAATCGGTTTAAAAAAAATAAATAATAAAAAAAAAAGTTGGACATTGGGCAACTGATTCAGATCACTTGGTCATGGCTGTGGTTACATGAGGTAAAAACAATATAAATATTGTTTGTTTTCTCACACAAACCGCTCGTTTCATGTCTTAGGCCATCAATGTGTACTTACATTTATGAGTCATTAAATCATGTTTAATTTGGACTTCTCTGTGCATGCTCTTTGAGGTGGTGACCATAGACCTCCATTATATGACTGACAGACAACAACGGTTTGACCGAAAAATGTCAAAATTTAAAATACTGTGGAAACAAAGACACCTACATCTTGGATACCCTTGAGGTAAGCTAAAACATATCAAAAATGTATTTCAAAGTGAACTATCCCTTTAAATGTGGGTCAAAGTAGATGTTGTTCACAGGCGGCCGAGAAATAAAGAGAAATCCAGGGTGTGGTGAAGAGAACTTTCTTTTTTATGGAAAAATATACTGACGTGTTTCGGCTAAAAAGCCTTCCTCGGGGTCTCAAAGAAGGCAGCCAATGAGGACGAACATAGGCTGGCAAAGCAATGCTTTCGAAACGAAAGAACTGAAACAGCCTGAAATGAGTTGTCAATAATTCCAGTCGTTCTTCTTGCACGAACCAAGTAGATTTGTAACAAATTTGCATAATGCCAGCCTATGTTTGTCCTCGTTGGCTGCCTCCTTTGAGACACCGAGGAAGGCTTTTATATCTGAAATCATGCATAATGGAGCACTTTAAAGGATTAGTTCACAGATCACCCCCCCCCCCAAACAAGAGAATTTTATAACTCTTTTTCCAATCCTGTATTACTTTATACAACTGTAAACACAACACAAATTCATGCTGATCTTTTCCATACAAGTGAATAATGAAACAGCATACACATTCTGCTAAATTTCTTTTTTTTTGTTCCACAGAAGAAAGTCATACAGGTTTGGAACGACATGAGGTTGAGTAAATAGTGAATTTGAACTGAAGCGTCACCCTGCAGAATCTCCTGCATGCTTTGACTGGCGATCTGAGAGGGTGAGAAGCCCTGCAGGGAAGTGATGAGCGGGTCACATCTAGCGCTCAGGAGCATGTGACAGGTCTGCAGATGACCGCGGTGAGCTGCGAGGTGAAGCGCTGTCTGACCCAGGTTATCTACCGCATTCACCTGCACATCACAACAACACGTTCACAGGAAAAGCACCATAAACTGTTTTGCATTACTGTTTTTTCACAAACTGAGGGACATATCAATATAATGTGATCTATTTCCGATTGAAACAGGATATTCAACCAGACAAAACATGTAGGGGGTGAGATTTGGGAAGTCACAGAATACTGATGAAATTTACAGATAATTTTACATATAATTTTACAGATATTTTTTTTTTTTTTGCATTACAGATAATCTGAATGTTAATGTTATAATATCCTAATATCTTTACACCTTGCCTTATAGTCGCATTTAGCTGATTAGAGCTTCGGTAAAATAGTTTAGACTTTGCAATGGTACAAGCAATCAAACAGTTGAGATTTGCTTGTAATTATATATATATATATATATATATATATTAGACTTACTTAGCCTGGCTGGATATACTGGCTGGCTTGGACATACTTGTATAGTGAATGTTATATGTTATATAAAGAGCTGTCTGCCTAAGAAGTTACATTTTTGACACAATATAAGTCAAGTATTTGTGATTTGCTATATATTATATATCACCCTTTGTGAGTATACTATATCTATGTAAAAATATATATACAATTTTATAAAGAGAGCTCTGTGATAATACATTTACATGTTATGACGATATGAACAATCACGCAGCCGACATTTGCTTTATAATATATTTTGCTATACTTGAGCATACTATACTGTATGTACTATAGGTAAAGCAGGATGTACTATATTTAACTTTTAATACATTTCTGGGCGATTATATAGTTTACATTTTTTTAATGATATAACAATTAAGGAGTTGCAATATAGTATAGAATAGCATATAGTACAATGTAAATGTGAGTATACTGTTATACTTACAGTAGTTGAATAGTGTGTTCTTAATTATTAATTTGTTAGTTCATTCGAGTTATTAATTTGTTATGAGTTGAATCACAGATTCATGTATTTTCATCCTGATGGCATAAGTAAAGGCTAACAGAATAACTGTGATGCTAAAATAACATTTGTGGAGCCTATGTTTAATTCTGTATATTTTACTGCACCTGGAAAATCTCACTTACTTTCGCCTCGTGTTTCACCAATACCTCGATGATGTCATTGTGGGACTTCTCCGCGGCAAGATGCAGAGGTGTTAGGAAGCTGTGTGAAAGACAGAGATCCACCAGACATTACTGGATAATATGATACACAATCATTAAGACACCCTCTGCAAACCCAAACAACACGACTGACTCACTCTTTATTCTTCTCATTGACGTTGGCTCCTTTTCTGAGCAGCAATTCACAGATCTGTTTCCTTTTGGGATAGGGCGACGTTGAGGCACAATGCTATCAAAGACAATCACAGAAACCTCTTTTACTCACTTCAAGACCTATAAAAATATATTTTCTTTAGATGGTGTGTTTAATTGTAGCATTCACAGGTATGTGCATATTAGCTTCAATCGTGGCTCATTCAATATGATTTAATAGTTGTAAAGATGCTTTTTAGTCATTGTTTTAAGAGCCGTACAAGAGCTGTCTCCTGGGTTAGAGGGTGTTTAAAGTTGATGGTCTCAACGGAGAGGTGCTTTTTAAAGCGGGCCATGTCCGCCTCACGTGCCGCCTGCAGCAGAGCGTGACCTCTGAACTCATCTGCAACAGAGAGAAACACCCCATCAGTCATTTACGCAGCAAACAAAACGCGAGCTGATCTTAGTAGCATTCACACGCTTACACGCCAGGCGCTCTTTCAGCAGGGTGTTCGAGGCCAGGTCAATCGCACTCTTGTTGTGGCAGTTGAGGAAGGTGGGGTCGGCCCCGTAGCTGAGCAGGAGAGAACAGACCTCCACTCGGTTTTTTGAGGCTGCCTCATGCAAAGGTGTGAACTGCCAAAGGTCCGTAGCACTGACACAGGCTCCATGCTGTGGAAAAAAAATGGAGTGTAGCCTAGTTAGTTACCACTTCAACTAAAATGAAAGAACTCGGAACAAGAAAGCTGACAAAAAAAAAAAAAATTGTGAATACCTTTACAAGCAACTCAGCTACCTCATAGTGACCGTATGAACAGGCATTATGAAGAGGCACAAGATCACTGTAAACACAAGGCCAAGTGGTTTAGTGATTACAACAATGAAAGGCGACTACAGTTTTTATCAGATATCAAATTTGACACATTCCTCAGATTGCGACAACAAATCAAAAAAGTGTTTACAGCTAAGTCTAGGGAACTATATACAAACTGTTCCGAAAGTATAGCCAAAATTATACACGTTAAAGGGATACTCCACCGTTTTTTTTTTTTTTCATATTAAACTATGTTATTCCCTTAACTAAGCTGAGTTGATACATACCTCTCTCATCTCTCGTCAATCGCTCTGGCACATCGTGAGGCACTTTGATAGCACTTGACTAGCCCAGTTCATTCAATAGGGGCCAAGCACCTCCACGTTTTCCCTATTTAATACAGTTACTCGAGCAGTGTAACTCGACCTAGGACGGTGACACAAAATAAAACATTGTGCTTTTCTAAGCGTGTAAAGTGGATAACTATAACGTATGGCGGAATACCACAGCAAGTGCTTGGGAGCACTTTGACTCAGCACAGTAATATCATTACTCGTGAAAAGTCCTCTCCCCCTTCTCCCTTTCCAGAGTGATGATATCACTGCGCCGAGTCCATAGATAAATATGCTCCCAAGCACTTGCTGTGGTATTCCGCCACACATTATAGTTATACACATATACAAGCTTAGAAAAGTGCAACGTTTTATTTTGTGTAGTCAAGTTACTCTACTCTATAATTGTATTTAAATAGGGAAAACGTGGACACGTGGTGTTTGGTCGCTTCTCTGCTTGGCTCCTGTTAAACGAACTGGGCTAAGTAAGGTGCGATCAAAGTGTCTCGCGCGCTAGAGCGATTGAGTGCACGCAACTGAGACGAGAGAGGTATGTATCAACTCATCTTAGTTAAGGGAATAACATAGTTTAATATGAAAAAATGGGAGTATCCCTTTAAGGTCACATGAGACTACTAGTGTAATATAAACCTTGTCTGTACATCCATTTTTTTAAAACTAGGGATGCACCAATATTAAAATTCAGGAGAATATCAGTGGGCTGATAATTATTTGCATGTTATGGCCAATATCTAAATAAATTCATATATAATAATATTTCATCATGACAACTGTTGATCATGAAAACCCATACCGATAGTTTTTTCTGGAATGTGTCCATTGCTGGAGTGGCTGAGAAGGGTTTACTGTCATTATATAGTACAAGAGCGGCCTCTAGAGGCGAAATAAAAACTACTGATGCCTCATGGTATTTGTTTTTACATGAGAGGCTGCGCTCTGCACAGAGCCGGACACTTCAAATTCAGATTTAAAACAGACAATGAAACGGTATGTATACAGTATACTGTTTTCAAATCAAGGTAATTAATTTGTTGACTAGATGCTACATTAGTGGAGAACACAAGAGCACGTTAACATTACTAGTACCTCAAGCAGTATACACAATGTGACAAGCAAGACCGACCCCAATGGTTTAATGTCACGATTGTGACCATCTATTTTAGAGCCAGACTGATATATTGGCAGGCCGATATTATCGGCCGATATTAGGCATTTTCCAAACTATCGGTATCAGCAGTTATAATGGCCGATAAATGAGTATTTCAAAAATAAAATAAAAACGGACGAAAAACACAATTCAACCATATCATGAGTGTTGGAGTTGTATAGTTAGTAGTAACTGCTGATCCAGCCAGAGTCGGGCAGAGAGAACCAGTTATCCGCGAGTGAGATCATCGGTGAAGTGTGTTCATGGTGAGTTGGTCACGAGACATACATTGCTTGAATAAAAATTAAAAGAACATCTCCATCAGTTCTCTTAGCTCAAATAAGCATGACAAAATTTGTGACTTATCGTGTCCAGTTTTGCGGCTGTTACATAAGCAGAGAGTGAAGCGAAATCAGCTAGTAATAATTACGTAACGTTGTTACAGTGTAGTTGACTGACTGTCCTTTTAACTTTTGACAATGTGACTAAAGTATATCTTTAATAGTACATGACAGTTATAGCAATGATACATATCATCTCTCCTTGGCCTGTTATATTGAAAATTTATATTTTACAATTTGCAGTATGACATAATCCATTGCTAAATTATGACTCATCATAGACTAGCTAACCACAAAGCTAGCTAATGCCACTATCATCAGTGTAAGGCCGCTAACGTTAACGTTAATGAGCTTTGGTTCCTCTGTTCTGTTGCGACGATAAAAGAAACTAGTTTCTTTTTCAAATGCATTATCATATTATTTTAGTTAAAACTCATACCTAACTGCAAATAACTAATGTTAGGGAAATCTGTTAATGTTTTGTTGCGAGTTTCTGAAAAAAAAAAAGAAAAAAAAAAATATCGGCCGATATATCGGAATATCAGATTTTAAAGCCAACAAATATTCGTATCGGTATCGGCCTTCAAAATCCTTTATCGGTCGGGCTCTATTTGCATAGTAGGCTAGTTTATATCCAGCTGGTCGCTTTAATGCATTATTTATCCAGCGAAGTTGCATATTTAAAGCTGGTGATGTGAGAAGGCAAACTGCATCATGTGGCCGACAGAAACATATAAACATATCAGAAAAGCATTCAATTTCATCTTTTTTTTATAAAAAAAGCTGAAATTGAACAGTCTGTAATACATGTTACATTGTTATTTTGTCTAGATAATCAAGTGTTTAAAAAAGAAGAAAATTAAATGAGAGACTATACATACAGTACATATTTTACGTATCTATTTTCAAGTGTAGATTAATCGTTTTCGGCCAGCATTAGCCAAACTAGTTATTGTTATTGGTCAAATCCACTATCAGTCGACCTCCAATTTAAATGTTGAGCAAGCAATCTCACTGACTGCAGAATCAGCAGAGCCCATTATGGTTCTGTGCATCTCTATAAAGGTGGTAAAGCCAGTAAAAAGAGACTGGAATTATCATTTACATTTTTTACATTTACATTTATTCATTTAGCTAACGCTTTTATCCAAAGCGACTTACAAATGCTATATATGTCAGAAGTCACACGCATTTAGAGAAACTAGGCGTTAAGTGTCTTGCTCAGGGACACATTGGTGTCTAACAGTGGATTCGAATCCACATCTCTCACACCAAAGGCATGTGTCTTATCCACTGCGCCACCACCACCCCAATGTACAATGAATTATCCCTGCGGAGCACCATTTTAAGTGCATTACTGTAAACAGAAATATTATTTGTTTTTGTTTTTTTACAAACTGAAGGGGATCTATTTCTGTGCTAACAGACAGCATAGAGCTTAACTTGTACGGCACTTTAAGTCACACTCAACACAGACATCACACCCTTTGTCTTTGGCGTGCACGTCGGCTCCATGCTGCAACAACAGCTGCACTGTCTTCACACGATTGTAGCCAGCGGCCAGATGCAGAGGGGTGGACTGCAACAAACAAACAATCCATTCAGGAACACATATGCAAAGCATTGTTTAAATGAAGATGCATGTATAATCTAGACCTATAACAACTGTATGAAATGTCTGGCTACATTACGTTTTATTTGAGTGGCTCTGTAATGTTGTTAATGTACACTAACAATCCCACTGTCAAACAAATATTGAATTTTAGGCAACACTAGATTAAATATAAATTATTTTAATAAATCACCTTCCTTCCATCACTAGCATGACAGTTCACATTTAATGGTGTGAGGAGGCTCATCAGTTTTTCTTCATTTCCACTTCTGTACAAAAGCAATGAGCGGCAAGTCAATTAAAAGAACAATGCGAGTCACGACAGCAATTTGGCTTAGCAATATTCATCTCTCCTCAGGTCTCCTGAACAATATTGAGCATAAATTGTTATTACCTTGCACTCTCGAGAAGTTCATCCTTTCTATATTCACCTAGATTTAAGAAAGAATGAAGTATATTAACATAAATGGCAATCTCATCTGAGCACAAATGAACAGCCAAGCCAAGTAAATTGCCATTTACTAAACACAGTCTTAAAGCTACACTGTGTAACTCTTTTAGTTTATTCTTAGCTAAAAACACTTAGTTCTTTCAAAAATATATGTGCTCATTAATGTATATTTACTTCGTTCAAGTAATAAAGTATTCTTGTGAGTGTATAATATGCCATTGAAAATACATGCGGGTAAGGGGTTCTAATGTCGCTCGCCATGTTGCCCCTCCGTCTTGAAAGTAAATTAGCCAAAGAGGGACATACCCGTTAATTCAAGTTCGCCTTTCGCGTTTACGTTTGAGTTAACACTCATGGACGAGGTCGAACTGGAAGCCATGTTAATCTTGCACTACATTGGCCACAAAACAAAATCGGAATTGAGAGGAACAGAAACTAATGGAAAAAAACTCACTGGATGATCATATACCTTTACACGGCTAAGAGGGGGTAAAAATCACACAGCGTAGCTATAAAAATAAATGAGTATTGTGGGACTAACTTTTAAATTATCATAAATACAAGTTTTGAATGGCCTTTCAAGTTGTACTAGGATGCACTAGGATAATTTTGACACCCAGAGTTGGTTAAACTTTAAACGTGGCGATGGAGAACGATTGCTGATTCCACAACAGCTCCATCCCCTTGTCTTGTCATTAAAGTAGTGCATGTATACAGTACATAATGAATAACCATTTGAAGCATATTGTGTGTTTTATACTGTACACACTTGAAAACAGCCTGTATTTGATTGAAATTCCAGAATATCTAGATACTGCGGTGAAGGTTTGGTTGTCAATGAATGGGATTTTATAATAGGATTTTCCCAATAAATAGGTAAGAATAAACCTGGTTTTCAGATTTCTGTTATTTTCGGCAAAAAAGCACGACAAGCTTGTAATCAAAACACCAGAAGTGGAAAAGTAGGACATTTCCAATAGCACGTGAAGGCAGCATAAGAAAGAATCAAGAGTTCCAGAAAGACATGTAATAAAAACAATAAAAATCTCATATAGTTCTGAACTAACAAATATTTTGATCATTTATTTGTTCGAGTAATCCTTTAAACATATAAAATCCCCAAATGATTAATTAAAACATTTTAAATATTTATTTTAATAATGAATTAATTTTAATGTACTGTAATTCCACATGCATCGTGAACTTATATATGTAAGCTGAATATTTTTAAATGAATCAAATTTGAAATTAAATTAATATTTAACCAATTATTTAAAAATAAAAATAGATTTTTTATTATTTTTATTAATTGGACTACACTGTTTTACTGTACAATGAGGCATGAGTTTGTATCATTTCCCAGCAGCCGGTCTTCCTCTCTCATTACACTGAATCAGACTGTGGACAAGAGCTTCAAGAGCTCACTCACCGGTTAGCACTGCTTTGGTGGAAGCTTCAGCCAAGTCAAGCGCTGTCCTTCCATCGGTGTTTCGGATGGTTGGCTCAGCACCATGTTGTAGTAAAACTATCAATGACAAACATGACACAAAAAACATTTTACATTCAACATACAAATGAGATTCACGTTTGATGTACTCTTCTCATCAAAACAAGGTATTATGAACGCATGTAAATTATTACTAGTCTACTAATTGTTACTAGAAGGTCTGAGAGGCACCAGGTTTTACCAATGCAGACGTCGATCTTGCCCTTGACGGCAGCCTCGTGGAGTGGGGTGTAATTCCAGTTGTCTCTGGAGTTGGCATCGGCCCCGTGTTGCAGAAGCAGGTTGACGACCTCAGCGTGACCAAAAGAGCAGGCGTTGTGAAGCGAGATTAGACCACCATCATCGCAGGCGTGCACGTTAGCACCATTTAGAAGGAGGTAGTCCACCACATCTCTACGGCCAAAACCTGCCACAGAACAGTCCATCGCTTTAATTTAGTCTTTAATTCACATATTAACATTGATTGGCAAACATAAACAGAAGCTCAGCCGAACTTGGTTGACGCATGTGAACAAACCTCATTGGTTCTTGCTAAAGCTCAAACGTGCTGCGTAACAGAGAATGAACCTCATTGGTTCTCGCACATGAAGCGAATATGCTTGAGGTTCTGTTTACCTCTACTGATGTGTGAGTTGATGAATGTTTATATGTGAATTAAAGCCTAAATTAAATCTGTTCATCATATAAAGCGATTGAGTTTCTTCAGAAAATTTGGATTATACCGCTCAATTTATATGGATTTGTTTTATGATATGTTTGTTGAAATGTCAAAGTGGCAGTTGCGTAGCTGTCAATAGACAGACAGAAATCTCTCCGATTTCATCAAACATATTTTCATTTGTGTTTAGAAGATGAATGAAAGTCTTACATGTTTGGAATGACATGAGGGTGAGTAATTAATGACAAAATTTTCATTTTTGGGGTAACTATCTCTTATCTACAATAGTTAAATGAACTAACATTGAAAAATACTTCTAAAGCATTTATTAGTCTTAGTTTCTATAATTTCAAAACTAATACATTATTAATTATAGTAATATTTTCTTATTAATATATTCTGCGTCTTTTGATATTATTTTATAGACCAGAACTGCATGAACAAATAATAATGAACTAATGTTACTAAGCAAAGATAAATAAATACTGTAACAAATGTATTGCTCATTGTTAGTTAATGTTAATCTTAACTAGCAATGGGTCCTTATTTTAAAGAGTTACCTCTATTAGTAGTTTAGTGTGTAGTGTGTATATATGTGTGTATATACACACACACACACACACACACACACACACACACACACACACACACACACACACTAAACTACACTAAACTACTAATAAATGTAACTCTTTAAAATAAGGACCCATTACTAGTTAAGATGGTTAAGACTAGTTAACAATGGGTGGTTGACATGACATTGGTCCAATGTGTCAAAGTTAAGTAAATTATAGAAAATATGTCAAAAACCTTGGTGATATTGTTCAGAAAGTTAAAAATATAAATTGCAAATAAAATTGCTCTTTTATATGAACATTCATGGGATTAATCTTCCATTTTATTCACAATTTTCAGCCAAACCAGAAAAAGCTCATGTGGCGTGACTGTCCCAAGCACATTTTACTAATTTTGATTTTGAATAAAAACAAGAAAATTAATTAATTTTCTGTTTATTTAATCACATATTGATAATCCAGATGTCTACTTAAAATTATAAAGATATACAAACAGATTGTTGTGTGGTGTGTGATTCATCATGTGGTGTGACACGTCATTTGGTGTGACATTCAGAATTTTGAAAAAAAAATTAAGACTTTTTATTATCATAAAATCATGTGACAGATGGGGAATAGTGCCAGCAAAGGTTTACAAGCATTTTGGTTCTTTTATAACAAGGTATTCCCAAATTAATTTCTAAGTATATTGAAAGATTACGAGTAAACATCTTTCTATGAGTGTTGATAAAGTAAAATAATGCAAAATGTAAGATATTGCACATAAGAAATACTATACTTTTATGTAGTAATGATAAAGAATAAGAATACATTGCATACAATATAATATATATATATATATATATATGAAGACTTCAGATGCAAAAGCCTCTAAATCCCATTTGAAATTTTCTTCTTTAATGATGATTTTTATCAAACTTGTATATTTAAGTTAAGTAATTTCACTTAAATGGCAATGATAATTACCTAATAATTGTTATTTAAGTGAAATTACTGAACTTAAATATACAAGTTTGATAAAAAATCATCATTAAAGATGAAAATTTCAAATGGCATTTAGAGGCTTTTGCATCTGAACTCTTCATATATATAGTAACAATAATGACGACAATTTGTGATTTCAAGTGTTACAGAAATAACATAAGCACATGGTGTTCTTACTAGCTCTCAAAAAAATCTATATAAATTATGCTAAAAAGCTTTTGTCTTTTTTTAGTTGATTAATTATTAATGATATGCAAATAGAATTGTATTCCGAAAAATGATAAAAAATTGTAAGGGAATAGAATAGAATAGAATAGAATAGACAGTGGCACTTACCCGCAGCGAAGTGCAGCGGCGTGGATTTCCTGCCCGCCGTGTCTCTGCTGTTTACATTCTCCGGGCTCACGAGCTTCTTTACCCGCTCAAGGTCTCCTCTCCTGCAGGCCTCGAACAACTCCCTGCTCGGCTCAGCAGACCCAGAGCTCTCCGTGAGCGCCGCAAAGCGCCGGAGCGACATGGACAAGCTAGGGGCAGAGAGTGGGAAATGTGGAATACACACTATTCTTCCCAAGGCTTGACATGAAGGCAGGAAAGAGGCGCGGATCTCCACAGTTAAAACCTTTCTGTAACATCCATTAGAAGAGACGAAATGATTTAGGGTGTCTTTGGTTATTAATGTGCAGAGCTGTGTCTCGAAATCACAGAAATGTTAGGAACGGATAGAATGTCAATTCGCGAGAACGTGGGTCTTGGAATAGGCGGGGCTTTGAGGCTCAAAACGTATGAGTCAGAATAATAATAGTGCAATATGAATGCAGCAACTGTCCTTCGTTCTTGGAAAATACTCTCCCCAAATCCTCGAATTTCCCCCATTGAGTTAAAAAAAGATTCGATAATGCATCAGAAATCATGAACCAAACCAACCAGGGCAGGGGTGCATTTCCCAAAAGCATATTCTATTGGATCGTTGAACAACTACTGGACAACTGCGACCATTAGTTGGCTTTGGGAAACTCACCCCAGATGAGCTACCTTGATTTTAAATAAAATATATTGGCTAATCAGACAAAAAAAGACAAAGATATAAAACGAGGGAAATGGGCTCTATGCACGGCGTTATTTCCGGTGAAGGATTAAGGATGCTCGATAACTTCCGCCGATCATAGAGTCCAATGCAATACCGAGAATTCATATTGAATTTTATACTCCATGGTTATACTAATGAAACGTAAGTCACAAAAACAGATAAAACAGACACCCCTCGTTGTGTTTATGCTTCTTTTTAAAATTATATTAAATAAACATAACTATAAAATTACATCTAAACGTAGGCTATGTACGTTTCGTTTCAAAGACGGGAGGACAGTAAATATTGAAGACTCTGCCATAATCCCGTTTTCTCCGGTTTTCCTCCGCTTTAATCTGTACAACCGGAAATGGACGAGCATCCTTACGTCAAATGCGGAACTTATGTATAGCCCATAGGCTACATACAAACCCACGATGCATTGCAAACGTCACAATCGAAATGCAAATGACAGTTAAAGTTTGTGACTGAGGTTATTTTTCAGTTAAGAATAGGCGAGGACATTTGAATTTTTTTGTGTCTGGAACATTCGCTTCTAGTAATCTTTACCTATATCCTTAAACAGCTTGTTATGCTGCTTGATTGCAAACTGGTATAATCCTTACCATATTTGAATGTATTGTCTTAATTATAAACATGTTAGTTTGTAGCACAACCAGTTTTACAGTTTAATGCACAGTTTTATATTCGTTATTTCCCATAGCAGCAAATAAATCGGAAGTCTCGCACATTCACAGAAAACACCTTACTTGGTAAAATGGTAAATCGGGAGATTTGATATTCTCTGATTGGTGGAGACTTTTTGCAGAATCACGGGTAATGTAGTTTTGACATATATACCAATTGTAAGTTGCTTTAAAGCGCCAGCTAAATGAATAAATGTAAAAGTACACTTTTTGAGTATCTGTACTTGAATATTATTTTGTCTGGAAACTTTTTACTGTAACTGTCAATGTCCTCGAGTAGAAAGTAGTAACGTCAGTCAAGGGATGAGTTTGGTTACAACTTACAAGGGGTTGCATCTTGGTTGAAAATGAAAGTCGGGTTGACGTCAGAAACCTAAGTTGGATTGACGTCAGAACTCGACTAAATTCTGACATCAACCCGATTTTCATTTTGAACCACAATACAACACCTGTCCAATGTTGGAGATTAACATCAATCTGACACTGGATTCTGACCTCAACTTGATTTTCATTTTAAATGCTGGGTTTGGTCTTCTAAATGCCAATTTTGTCAATGTTTTAGAGCACACTAGCTTATACAGTATAACAAATATTCTAAGGCTAACGTAATAAAAGCCAACAAACTTAAAATAGGGAACAGCCATTAGGGTGTCCAAAACCATTATGGACGTTACTGAGTGCACTAATTCAATCTCACATTCAATCCCACACTGCTGGAACTGTGTTCTAGAAATAAATGTGATATTGATATGAGGGTAGGCAGGCATAGATTCTGAGGCAGGCAGACTGCAAGTATTACATACAACAATAATAAAACAATGCATTGACATTTACTTTTTTACTAGTACTTTTAAAAATGGGCATATTCTGTACTTTCACTCAAGTAAGGAAGTTGTGTACATTACCTCTGCTGACAAATAGCCTAATAGATATCAGCAAACCCCTCGTAGTACAGGCTATAATGCGGTTAACTAGGCAAAACCAGTCACAAGTAGCACGGTTGATTTGTGGCAGTAGCCAACAATATGTTGTAATGGGTCAAAATTGATTTTTCTTTTATTGCAAAAATAATTGGATATTAGGCAAGATCATGTTCCATGAAGATATTTAGTAAATTTCCTATCGTAAATATATATAAAAAAAATATATTTATAATATTTGTGAGTGAATGCTGCTCAATCGTGACCATATGGCGATATTCTGAATGTTATGATTTTTTTTTACATCCTTGATCAGATTCTATCCAGATTTTCAAGTATGAAAATAGTATAGTAGGCTATAAAAAAGTAGGCTGTAAAAAATTTGGAGTAGGATTTACTTGAAAAAACCTTGCTAAACGATCTCACTCAGAAAATGCTATAGTAAATTTACAAAGATTTGCCAAGTAAAAACCTAAACATATTTATCAGTAGCTTTAATTAGAAATCTTTAAGTTAAATTTACTTGGAATGTGGAATTAAGTAAACTTTACAAAAAATAAGTAATTTTAACTCGGCTTGTAAAAGGTTGATTAATACCGATTTCCTTTGCCTCTGTATTACACTTCACTAAAACAATTATCTTGAATTTTATTAGTCATTTATAGTATGTTCTTTACTTAGATCATCTCAGTAATTTATATATACATCATGTCAGACTTTAAGCCTTATGTGAATGCAAACACCTCAATACTTGGTAGACAATACACAATGGTGGTAATATTTGATGGATCGTTTTTGTGTTTGAATGTGTCGTTTTAAGCAAAAAATTTACTCGAAATGTCACAAAATGGCAATTTACTAATACTGAAAACAAAAATCAATCATAAAACAGTGTAAATACAGCTAGAAACCAGTGAAAAATGAACCTCATTAATTATTCAAGGTCCAGTGCATGATGGGAACCCCAGTATCAGAAATGTTGAGTAATTTTTACTTAATTTTATTGAGTTGATATTACACTTTCATTTATACTCGCTTGAAATAAGTACTGATATGGAATTTACTTAGTTTTTTAAATTCTTGCCTGAACTAACTTTTTCAAGTTAATTACATTGGGTTTTTTCACTAGTATTTACTTAACCAAAAAATCATTTTTTTACAGTGCGGCCAAATATTGTCATATCAATAGGAAGCTTGTATTCAGCTTGCATATGATGTGCCTACATTTCAATAAAAAAATAAATAAAAAATGACCCAAAGTGACTGGTTTTGTGGTCCAGGGTCACATATAGACTATGTCACGTCACAACTTTCATCAGAATTAATTAATTTAATGCTCTCCATGCACTGAACACCGAATTGGCTTTATGCCCAGCTGCACTACTTCCTGAACTTCCTGATTAATTCAGGTGTGCCTGACCTCAGTAGTCATGGCAACAATAATCAGACCCACCTGAATTAATCAAGCTTGCCCAATAATGGCAGACAGGAAACAAGGAGCTGGCTGAAGTTCAGGAAGTAGTGCAGCTGGGCATAAAGCCAATTCACTTCAGTTTCAAATAGGCTGGCACAATGTAAAGACTCGGTGCTGCCACCTTCAGTGCAGTGCCTGTTTTGTTTTTGTTTCCATAAAATTGTTGCATGCATGAACAACAGCAGCTTTGGAATTAAGTAGGCCTATCTTTTTTTGCATATTTAATCACAAAATAAAATAAATGTAGAATTATATGTAGAAATATATCAATAAATCTAGAGATATATCGTAAAAAGAATAATAATATAAGAATAATATAATAATATATAATATAATAATATAAGATATAAGAAAAAGTCTTAAATTACATACTTTTAATATGATTTACACAAACCAACATTGACTTTATTTAATGTTTTATAAAACATTTATGTTTATAACATTCATTCATGTAAAATTTATAAAGAAAATATCATAATATGTATTTAAAAAGCATTAACAAATATGATCCAATCAATGCTTGTAGTCTTTTGCATAAACTTAACATTCAGATTCAACATTCAAAAAGGAGGAGGTGGAGGAGGTGGTGGAACAAATTTTCCTCCAGTATTAGGAGGGGGAGGAGGCGGTGGTGGCATGGAGGCATTTTGGGGAGGTGGTGGTGGTGGAGGTATAGAAGACCCACTGTAGGCAGCTGGAGGAGGAGGAGGAGGAGGAGGAACAGCTGTCTTGCCCTGAATAGGAGGTGGTGGTGGTGGAGGTGGAGGAGGTGGACCAGCCATGTTATCTGGGGGAAGAGGAGGTGGTGGTGGAGGATTTGCTGATCTCATTGACATATTTTGGGCAGGTGGAGGTGGTGGAGGAGGAAGCAAAGATCCTCCATACTCAGAATTAGGTGGAGGTGGAGAGGGAGGAGGGGGTGGGGGTGGAGCGTCTCCCATCTCATCATCTAGGAGAGGTGGAGGAGGCAGCATGGACAGGTCGGGATATGCATATGGAGGTGTAGACAGGGAGCGGTCAGATTTGAGTGAAGGAGAAGGTGAAGCTGGAGAGAGACCAGGAGAAGCTGTGAAACTAGAACCCATCCAGTCAGGCACTGATGGAGGAGGAACTGCGATACCCAAGAAAGACCTGAAACCACAGCAAATACGTCAGATTTCTGAAGACAGTGGATGAAACTGAGTTCATAACCAAACTAGTAAAAGCCATTGTATTACATACCAGTTGAAGGTGCTGGTCTCCTGTGTGCCAAGTTGTTTTAAAGAGTTCTCATTGTCTGATTCCGATTTTGGCTCTTCCTTCGATGTCACAGATCAGCATAATAATTTGAAATAAATAAATCAATTCATCAAAACGAATTTTTCACAAGATATTAAAGTATTTTAAATTTTATTGCAAAATATGATAGAGGAACCTTATAATTAATGATTAAAAACATAAAAAAGTAGAAGTAAATTTCCAAATAGTTTTTTATTTTGGTATTATACTTATTTTGGTTCCAATGAATTTATGACTCTCAAAAAAAATAAAAAATAAAAATAATAATAGTGCAGTTAAAACCTCCTTTTTAAGAGGTAAGTACGCAATTCACATGCTAGATATATTTCAAATGTTTTCTGTAATGCTATAGAAATAAGTATCTTATGTTGAGTAAGGCTGCATTTACAGTATTTGATTAAAAATACAGTAAAAACAGTAATAAAATGTGA